CAGCTCTCTCTGACCTGGAACTGTCCACTCTGCCCCTCACCAGGTGTTCACCGGGTGACGTTGCTGTCCTAGAGGCTGAGGGGTGAGCACCGGCAGGATGGGCGAGTCCCTGTGGTCTGCAAGCTCACAGTCTAGAACGTGTGGCGGTGGACAAGGACCACACGGGTGAGCAAATGGCCATCAAGAGGTGAGATTCTGAAAGCCACCCAAGAGGATCATGTGGTCACAGGAAACTGGGTGCTCTCTCAGACTGGGTTGTCAGGAGAGTTCTCTTTAAGAAGGTGACATCAGGGTGAAGATCCGAGAGGCACAAGGGAGGCCGTCTTGTGAACTGGGGGACAAGCATCCCAGGAACAGAGGGGAGGACATGAATGCTCTTGATGAGTCCAAGGGACAGGAAGAAAGCCTGTGAGGTCCCTTTAGGACTCAGAGTTTCATGGGACGTTGGTCCTGTCTCTCTGCAGTCGCTTATCTTGCCTCTGCCCAGGGACAGCCTGACAGTTCGCCCTAGCTGTGTGTGGTGACATCACGGCTCTGTCYGCTCCTGCCAGCTGTCTGTCTCTGCCTCCAGTTGGGATAACCAGATTAGCCAGCTCCTGGCCCCCGACACAGAGTTCTCATCGCAGGCCGGAAACCCCGAGGGAGGCTGGGCCCTTCCTCGGTTGTAGGTCCTCCTGAGTGCTGCTGTCATCTGCTCACTTCTCTTTTCTTCCACAGCCACCTGTCCCTACCTCAGTCCAACCCGCAGTCACCTCTCACCTGAACTACTGAGCCAGKCTGCCCAGGGCCCCCCTGGTTTCATCTTGCTCCCCAAAAACCCACCCTCCACAACATAGAATGGGCTTCAAAAAGCTGCTAATGGAGGGGAAGTTGGATGTGTACCCCAAAGTTCACACTGGAAACTTATTCCCCAGTGCAATGGCGTTGACGGGCGGGACCTTCAAGTAGCCGTGGAGTCCCGTTCAAAATGGACCAATGGCTCTGTGATGGGAGGAGAGTGCGGCCCCATCCCTCCTTCTCACGGTGTGTGCTCCTGCCCTTTTTCTTTCCACCATGAGAAGATGCAGCCAGAAGGCCCACTGCCAGATGTGGGCCCAAGACTCTAGACTTCCCAGCCTCCAGAACTGTTAGAAATACACCTCTGCTCCTTATCAATTACCCAGTCTCAGGTGTTCTGTTATAGTAGCACAGAATGGACCAAGACAGCCTTATTCATGGTGGTAATGGTGCATTTTGGGGGTGGACTATTCAGATTCCACCTCCTCTTTGGAACTTTGATACATCTCTGGGGGAACCCAAAAGGAGATGCTAAGATGGAATGGCTTGGCTTTGTGATTGGTGCCAAGGCATCTAACCCACTGTTATTCGAGCCAATGCCAGTTTGCTCTTGTTAGTGTAGCCTTGAACTTGTGCTGGTTCCTATAACTGTTCTATTTCTCTTTTGGCCTCCTGTCTTCCTTCAAGGACCACTTATCTGCACTACTATGTGAGCCATTGATGACTGTTGTGTGAATAGAGATCTTGTTCTTTTTAAGATCTGCATCTACATTGGTTGAAATCCTCCCTGAGATTTCAGTTAGGGTTGCTTGAGTTAGCAAATAAAAATAAAGGATACCCACTTAAACTTGAATTTCAGATAAACTAAGAATAATGTTTTGGTATCCGCATGCCCCACGGATTGCGTGTCCTGTGTTTTTATCGGGTGACGCAACCCTGCTCTTTGCTATAGTCCTCCCCGCCCCAGTAAGCAGGGCTTGTTCCAGATCTGCCACACCTGGCTTCATCTAGCAAGCCGGTGTCTGGGTGTTTCCTGTGATCTGTGCTCATCTAACAAAGCAAGGTACACTCTCTTCTGGGTGGCGAGGTGTCACAGAAATGCTGCCGCCTACCTTTCCTTGTAAACATGTGTGCCTCATCCAAGGGGAGCCTGTCTGGTCATGAACCCTTGGCTTGCTTTTTTTTGGAGGGGGGATTGAATTTAGGGGCATTTGACCACTGAGCCACATCCCCAGCCCTATCTTGTATTTTATTTAGAGACAGGGTCTCACTGAGTTGCTTAGCATCTCTCTGTTGCTAAGGCTGCTTTGAACTCACGATCCTCCTGCCTCAGCCCCCCAAGCCACTGGGATTACAGGAGTGCACCACTGCACCCAGCTTCTTGGCTTGCTTTTGATGATGTAGAATTCTTCATTTACAAAGTTCAAAAGACCTAGTCACCAAGAGGGCTTTTAAAATAGTTTACTATTATAATGATGTGTACAACACACAATTTCCCTTTGATATCTCCTCTTGCCTCTTGCTCCAAGAGTATTACAGCATTAAAGGCTCCTATGAGCCTTTGATCAATGAGCTTTACTGAGTGATCCAATTCACATCGATGAAATCTTTATTGGAGATAAGAACAGGCCTCAACACCCTTATTTTGCAGAAAGGGAACAAGAAACAAACCATTTCCATCCTGCTAAGAGCTAATTTGCAGCTGTGTCAAGGATCAATAAGTAAATGAACTCTGGATTTAGAACACATAATATTGGAACTAGTTCATATTCTGACACTTTTTTTTTTCCACAAAGATAAGCTAAGCTGTGAGCATGGGAAAGATTGGAGGGACCCTACAAAGAGACGTGAGCTTCTACTTACTCATCCCAAAACAGGAAACAGTATCCTCACGCCGATTCTCTGAACACATTTTCCAAGACAGCCAAAAGTTAATTTATTTAAAACAAATTGAATTGAACCAGATTGAAGTACATCAAAAGTTTACTCTAATGCGATCTGATCAATATCAAATTAATACTTTTGGCTGAGAGTTTGTGTTGGATTTCTCCATAGGGAGCTCTTGGCAGACAATTGTGATGTATTTGTTTCTTTAATTCTGTTTCCATGTCTTCTTCTCATTGGCAAATAACATGCCTATATTGCTAAATGGGCTGCACAATAAACACAAGGGGGTAATAAATGATGAGTAAGACCGTGCTTCTCAATCCCGTGGTCTTTTGGTTGTAGACTCGCCAGTTCTTAGAGGCCACATTTCTCAAACCAGTGGCAACCTGTCTCGTGCTGACGTTCCATGCCCGACAGGTGGTTCCGTGATGACCACTGTGCATTCCTGACAAAATTTTCCTAATCCCTGCTTTAGCAGCAGGTAGATTTCACAATCTATTTTACCTTTGTGGGATGAATTGTAGAGAGCAGGCGTCTCTCTACAGTTCTATAGGCAGTTCAGGACTCTTGGCATTGATGAGAAAGCCGGATATCCTGTAGGTCATTTATTCCTAAGGCCACCAGGGCCTGCCATGGGCTTTTGGAAACAGAAACACCACACACAGACCTCATTTTGAATGAGGGGAAATTCTTGTTACTTGGATGAGTCTTTTATGTCTTTAAAGAGCTTTGCTAGGATGAAGAAACTGAGAACATTAATGGGGCACCCATTAGGGTCTTTGAAAAAAAATATGATTTAAATTGCCCTTTAGGGCCACAGGGAGTTCAGTCCAAGGGATCAACATGCCTCCTTCAAGCAAGAATGTCCACACCTCTTAGCAGTGTTATGTAAAAGAGAGTTTTTTTTTTTTCCCTGTATCTTCTTGCAGGGATATGATATTCAGTACTGCTTCTGAGAGCAGATTTGCTCAGGGCCTCAGGGGGACCAGTGGGAGGAGATGAATTTGTGAGTTTTAAATTTTTGATTTCTGGGGACTCTGCCTAGGGTGTGCTTTTCATTTTCAACCCTTCTGAATGGCTGGAGCTGTTTTTTTCCAGACAAATATAATTTTCTTTCCTATGAAGAAAACTAACTTTAGGACATAAACAAGTATTTTAAAATAAATTTTAAGACATCAACAGGCATTTAAAAATGCATTTTGAATGTGTTCCTGTCGCCTCATTACACAGTGTCGGAAGATAACTAGGAGACAGGGGCGTTAGGCACCGTAGCTTAATGAGGTTGTAATGAGAGAACAGGGAAGCTTGCTTCCCCCCCTGCCTATTCTAAAATTCGTAGCTCCGTGGGTTAGAGCATATTTGGGCTGAAGCTTTCAAATAATTTAATGATATTTTTTTGAGATTTTTTTTCCTAGTTTTTGATTATGTTCCCTTTTATTAAATCTGTAGTGAGTAGATTAAGAGTGAGCAGGTGAGCTGGTCGAGGTGGCACGTGCTTGTAATCCCAGCGGCTCCGGAGGCTGAGGCAGGAGGATTGTCAGTTCAAAGCCAGCCTCAGTAATGGCGAGGCACTAAGCAACTCAATGAGACCCTGTCTCTGAATAAAATAAAATATAGGGCTGGGGATGTGGCTCAGKGGTCAAGTGCCCCTGAGTTCAATCTCTAGTATCTAAATTTCATAATTTTGCTTTTAAATAATTGAAAATTGTGACCTTGGACATAGTGTGCAACAAATATCAGCTATTATTGTGAATTAGGGAAAAAAATAAGACTTTAAGGGGACAAAAATCCCAATTATAGAACAGGAAAAATTTTAYACAAATGCTTCAGTAGGGATGAATTATTTACTTTGCATATTAGGATTCCATTATAATAAATTGGTTGTAAACCACGTGAGGATATTTGCTTCATTAAACTTGGRAAATTTAATATTTATCAAATGAAATTATTATAAACACTGACCTGTTAATTGAAAGTTTGGTTTATTTTGTTCACTTAAAATGGATCAGAATACTTTGACAACTTTATAACCTGTTGGAGGGAAAGGGAATAAAATTTTGCTGACTCAGTTACCATTCCARTGAGACCATTTAAAGAAAAAAGATACTGTGTACACAGTATCCTGAGACGAAAATTGGTAGAGTAAATGAAAGTCCCAACAAAGTCTAGTAATAATAACTAAAATGTACTCAGCATTGTATATGATCGAGCAACCTAGAAATTTATGTGCATGCATCTTCCTCTTTTTATAACAATTCAGTGAGGTGAGTGTGCCATGATGAACCCTATTTGATAGATGAGGAAACTGAGGAACAGATGTATTAAATTGCTCATGAGTGCTCACTTTGGAAGCACATATACTAATATTGGAACAACACGAAGATTAGTGCGGCTCCTATACAAGGGTGACATGCAAATTCTTGAAGCAGTCCATACTACTGTAAAACTATAATGCACTAATAAAAATATTAAAAGAAATTTCTTGAGAGTGATGTAGTTGATAAACAGTGGAGCAGAAGTTCAGGCCAGGTAATCTGACTTTAGCGTCTACACTAAAATCTTTCTAAAATATAAGCCCGTGAGCTAATTTTGCATGTTCTAGTTTTCTAATAACTAAAAATTATTCAACATAAATTGCCCTGTGATAGCATGTTTATGAATTGGGGAGCATTGATGAGGTAACTAATTTTAAGTAAAGGTTAAGAAGGTTAGCTAGCTTTATATTTGTTAACCATAGTTTACCATAAACACCAATTCTAGGGGCTGGGGTTATGGCTCAGCGGTAGAGCGCTTGCCTTGCAAGTGGCAAGGCCTTGGGTTTGATCCTCATAAAAATAAATAAACAAATAAAAAAAGTTATTGTGTCCAACTACATCTACAAAAAAATTTAAAAAAACCCCACCAATTCTAAAATGGAGTTGTCCAATATGCCACATGTGATTCAAAATTTTCTTGTAATTTTTGTTAGAAAAATGACAAAATGTTAGAATTTTAATAATATATTTTACTTAACCTAACAAATCCAAAATATTATTTCAATATGTAATCAATATAAATGTTTTAAGTGAGGTATTATCACTTTAGTGAGATATATGTTATGGTTTTGCTGGGCACTGTGGCACACACCTRTAATCCCAGCAGCTCAGGAGGCTGAGACAAGAGGATTGCAAGTTCAAAGATAGCCTTAGCAACTAGCGAGGCACTAAGCAACTCAGTGAGACCCTGTCTCTAATAAAATACAAAACTGGGCTGGGATGTGGCTTAGTGGTTGAGTGCCCCTGAGTTCCATCCCTTGTATCCCCCACACCCAAAGTTACAGTTTTAAGTCTTCAAAATCTGGTGTGTATTTGGCACATTTGAACATGTCAATTCAGATTAGCTGGTGGCCACTTGGTAATTCACATATGGCTTGTGGCTGTAGGATGGAATTATATGGCTCCAGACAATCTATAGGAAAGCAAGTTTATTATTTCAATCTTATTTCCAACATGGTGAGACTAAGAAAAACCAGTTAACCATCCACACAGAAACTCCTAAGCTTCGGGAGTACCTTCATTTCAGTTAGCTAACTGGACAAAAAGCGGTCACTGGTTGAATTGATTCTCCCTGCCAGTAACGGGGCACATTTTAGAATGACAGCCTCCTCACAGTCTTGTAATTTTGTCTAAGAGAGAATGGAAGCAGAACTTACGATAAAGCTAAACCTTCTGGGCAAAAACAAGTGGGTAGAAGTACCCCTCACAGAAAAAGGTGAGTCCCTTAGGAACTTGCCAAGTGGGTATTCAATGCAGACTTTTCCAAACCTTCAGCATTTGAGGGCAGGGGTGGCCAACTCGATGGCCCTTCTCTCTTCTGGGTTCAGACTCCATTTAGGCATGAATATATAGGCCAATGAACATTATTATAAGGTAGCTTTGTTTTTGCTTCTTAATTGATAAATTATTAATAATACTTGTTTTTTTAAAAAACAAGCTAAACAATAAAGAAATTGTATATAGTCCTTACTCTAGTTAATAGGTAACCACCGCTTCTGTTTTGTCTTCCCCTCCCTCGCCCTCCCTCCTTCCTTCCGTCTTGTGTCCCTGTAACAACACAACAGAGGCAGCGGCCTTTTTGAAAGAAAAAGGTTTATTTTGGCTCAGGGTTTTGGAGGCCCAAGAGCATGGTGCTGGCATTAGCTTCTGGTGAGGGCCTCCTGTTGGATGGTATCACATGGCAGAGCCTGTGCAAGAGGGATCACATGGTGGGAGAGGAAGCCAGGGAGTCAGGAAGGGCCAGGTTTGCTCTTTTATAACAGGCTYTTGCAGGAGCTAAGCCACCCTGTGAGACCTACCAGGCCTGTGAGACCAATGCCTAAGGGCAGTCACAGACCTGATCACCTCCTGCTAGGCTCCACCTCTCAAAGTTTCCAATGCATCTCACTGCCCTTGAATTGGGACCAAGCTCCCAGCAGTGACATTCATCAATGTGTTAAATTGGGACTAAGCTTTTAGCAATGACTTTTGGGGACAAATCTTTTCCAAACCATAGCACTGTATGTGTGTGTGTGTAATATATATATATATATATATATATATATATATATATATATATATATATTTGATTTTTTTTACAGAATGGGATAATCCCATGACTGTTGTCTAAAACCCTCATTTTCTTTCAAGATTAAACCAATATATTTCTCTGTGTTTTATAGATTTTATTTTTTCAAATGAATACAGGGTAGTGGGTGTGCCTAATTTATTTGACCATATCACTATTGGTGGACATAGAAATTATTTCCAAGTTTTACTATTACGGAACTCTTGTAATGCACATCCTTGCCTATGTCTCATTACACATTTGTATATTTCTGTATAACAGGACTCTAGAATTGAGATAGGTGGGGGGAAATGTACATGCATTTTGAATTTTGATGGGTGCTGGCAAATCACTTAAMGGCCTGCCAGAAAGACCCTTCTTTTGACTTCACCTCAAAACGCCAGTGTTCTCATCATAAGAAAGTGGGCCACCTTTTCTTTCACAAAACAGATCTTATATGTTCATTAGTTAATGTGTGTGGCATCAGTTGGTAATCACATTGTCTTGCTTTGGGGCTTCTCAAATAGGTAGCAAGTCCAGAAGACTCAGCTCTTCAGGGTTTTATTGTGTTACTGACATTCCTTTGGTGAGTCACAAATACTGGAAAATAAATGCCAGGCTCCCAGGGGTTTGAAGGAAGACACCATAGGTTTGGGATTCAGTAACTGATCTTTCCAGAAAACACAGTAGGGAGCGAGGACTCATTCACCCCAGGGTGGCTGCCCTCTTGCTCTATCCTTTAGAGGAAGCAAGACCAGGGTCTCCTAGTACTTTCCCTTCCTCTTCCTCGTGGAGGATGCCTAGCCCGAGCCGAGAGGAGCATCCCTCCCCTCCCCAGTGCCACTGCCTCCAGTGCACAGCTGGTCCTTGGCACAGAGTCACGGTGCTCGCGGTAGATGCTCAGCAGTCGCAGCCGGTCGCCAAGCAGAGTAGCAGCAGGAGATTGACGCTGCAGCCTGAAAGTTGCGCTTGAGCTTGTGGGTGACACCGTCTCCTGTTTACTCCCAGAGCCACGCCCGCGGCCGCTCTCCCGGGGAGCCCTCCAGGTCAGGGACCCGATCCCCGGCGAGGCCCGGTGCGAGCGCGGGCGGCGGGCGAGCAGGGCCGGGAGGTCCCGGGCAGCGGGCGCTGCTGCGGCAGCGACAGGAGCACCGCGTACCAGTTGCTCAACACTTTATCACTTGGCSGGGCTGCCGCTTCTCCCTCGAGGGAATCTGCAGTTTGAGGCTCCCAGGAAGAAAGGTGCGGCGGCGGCGGCGGCGGGGTGGCCAGGGCTCCCAGTGTCCGGTGCGGGAAGGCAAAGGGGTGCCGGCGGGGTGCAGCCCGGCCCGGCTCGCTTCCCTCGCTCGCCTCCCGCTGCAGCCGCGGGAGGCCGGGGAGGTCCCCGAGCGGTCCCCCCGCAGCCGTGCGGCCACCGAGGGGCGGGGCCGGCCGGCCCGGGACGCTGCGGCCGGGGGTGCTCGCCCGGCCCCCGGCCCGGCGGTTGCCATGGTGACGCAGGGTCGGCGCTCGGCGCGGCGCAGACAAAGCCACCCGCCGCCCGCCCGAGCTCCTCCTCCGCGGGCCTCCTCCCCTCCCGGGCGCCGCCAGAGCGGCCGCCGGTCCTCCCGCCGCCTCGGCCACCACCGCGGCCGCGGGCCAGGTGAGGGGGAGGGGCGCGGGGCGGCTCCCGGGTCCCCGAGGGCCTGTCCCCGCCGGGAACAGCCGCCGCCGCCCTCGACGCCGCAGCCGCCCGCCCGCCCGCCCGCCGAGGACCGGCCGCAAACTTGGGGCCGCGCGGCGCCGCCTCCAGGGGGGCCTCGGCGGGGCCGGTCCGCCGCCCAGCGGAGGGCAGCGCGGGCGGCCGCGGGGCGGCGCGGGGCGGGACCCACCTGCGCGGTCCGCTCGCCGCCGGCCGCTGTCTGAGTGTGGGTCTCCGTCCGCCTCGTCCTCGGGGCTCTGGGAAAGAAGGTATGCAGCAGACTTTCCGGCTCCTCCTCCGCGAGGCTGCGAGGGAGCGCGGCCGGGGGAACGGACGCGGGGCCAGGACGAGATTTTAAAGAATTTTTAATARATCTCTGAAAAGTCAGCCCATTCTCTTGCCTGTGGCGGAAGCATGGGGAGGTGTCATCTGAAGTTCGTGGGGATTTTCAGTCTGAAAGACCTGGATCTTTGGAGGTTCACCTGGACCTGTAACGGGGTCCGGGGAAGGGAGCCGCGGTCCTCCCCSCACCCCCACCCCGCACCCCCGGGCGGAGGGAGAGCTGGACTTGGTTAAGGGCACACGGGGCGCCTGAGGTCGTGGCTGTGGTTTCTGGAAGGTGTTGCACTGAGGCTTTAGGAGCTGGGGGATGCCTGTGTTTTGATGTGTGGGGAAGCTGTGCAGAGCACCTGGGGAGGCAGGTRGCTGGGCGGCGTTGGCACAGTTTGTGAGCGCGGAGCTCCGGGATGCAGTTGCCAAGGGCGTCTGGGCACTGGCTCCGGGAATTGCTCAAGTTCTGGGTACCCGCTCCTCTTCAGTGGCCCCAAGTCTTGCGGTCATTCCCGTGAGGTTTAGTTTGTTGCAGACCCAAAGGATAATTAATTAAGCATGAGATCACGAAGACTTGCTTTTTGGGTACCTAAGAATCACCTTACATGTGGTAATGTGAAAGAAAACATTCTTTTTCAGAAATACTGCTTATGGATTTGGAAGGAAATTGCACAGATGTTAATATGATTTGTTTTAATTGGGGGGAAATGTCCTATTGATAACTGCAAAATGACCCAACTGGTGTAATTGTATACCCAACTTAGAAGAACAAGGTGTAAGTTGGAATGAGTCAGTTAGAGATCACTGTATGGCAATGCAAATAATTATATTTTTRCTAGAAGGCAGTT